TTTGCAAATGCATCACAAACAAGTAAAAAATGTAATTCATCTTTAAAATTATTACTGTTACACATTTTACATATTTTGCTTATCCCACTATCATCTTTACATCTTGGGGCGATGGGGTAGCCTAGTGGTTAAAGCGTTTGCTCGTCACGCCGAAGGCCCGGGTTCGATTCCCCACATGTGTACAACTTGTGAAGCCTATTTCTGGTGTCCCCCGCCGTGATATTGCTGGAATATTGCTAAAAACGGCGTAAAACCATACTAAGCCAGCCAGTCTTTACATCTTATAGTGTATCATCTTTACATGTTGACGTTTTTCTACATTCTGATGGAAAAAAACATGCTCGTTTGTAAGAGACCCGTGAAGATGCGAGTTGGAATTGGTCTTCGGAAAAAAGAAACTAAGGAATTCGGGTGGTCAGACTTGCTGACGTGGTACAGGGAACTCTGACAAACGGAAACCTGGAAATCGTGGAAATCTCAAAACGAGTCTCTCCCGCTAGAAAAGTGTGGCGGTCTGGTACGGACTTGATATTATATCAATCACATTGTGCGTTACAGAACTACATTGAATAAGTGCACAAAACACATAACAGGTGTAACCAGTGTGCCAGATGCATTGTCAATCATTTTACGACCTCATCAAACAGGGGCAGTCTGTGACGTCTTAGTTAAGGTCATGCTGCCTACACCTCGCCATAAAATGTAGAAATACGATGTTACTAAAGTTTAACATTAAACTTCTTCTGTAAATACCATTTTCTTATGAAAGAAGGAATAGGAATTCAGTGTAACCATAGTTGTTTGTGATGTCTATTTTCACTTTCACACGGATCGGATCGGCTGAAAAGTAGGTCATTGTCTGAACAGGTTAATGAGACTCATGTTTCGGTTTTGGGTGGAATCTTGACTATATGGTTGGACGAGTGTGGCGTTAAACAACAAATAAAGGATGTTAAAGAATTTCTCCCCGAAGACGATGGCACCCTCATGTTACTGGAACACTGTTCATAGCGGTGTTTCTGGACATGTAAGACAATTAGCTGTGCAGAGTTGCGTCCCTTGGACACGCCAGGAACTTCGTTCGCCCCAATCACCCGTGGGTTTCACCGAGAATGGTAAACGTCTGAGACTTGCACCATTCCTGCGTTCCTCCACATCACGTGATAATATAACTTGAACACAGGTCAAAGCGGCGTCAGGGGCGTAGCCACCATTATTTAAAAAGCCCGGGTTGACACATGATTTTTGCTAAAGATCACTATGAAAGTTGGGCAGTCCGGCAATGCTATCTAAATATAAAGCGTTGCAACCCATCGGGCTTACACCCAAAAAAATGGCTTGCTACGCGTCTGGGCCCCGTTTCACAAAGCTATCGTAGCGTCACGACTGTCATAAGTCTATATGCTTCAGTAAGCTAATGTTAATGTATAGCACTTACGACTATCTTAGCGCTAAGAGAGCTTCGAAAATCTAGGCCCAGGAGGTACGATTCCTACGAGAAATGTTACGACATCTTAGGCATACGAGAGCTTTGTGAAACGGGGCCCTGGGAGTTAATCGATTACACGTACTTGGGTTGTCAGTCAAGACGTGATGAGGTAATTCTATGTCGTATTGGCCACAGATTTACTCATAACCATCTGCTCAAAACGGATGGAGATGGACCTCCTATATGTCTCTTGCGACGAAGTGTTCACCATCAAGCATATACTGCTTGATTGCGTGGACTTTTCGACTGCAAGCGATTCGCATTATGAAGCTACAAGTCTGAAAGACCTGTTTTCCCGTGTCAGCGGACATCTCATTGTTAGCTTTGTGAGGGAAGTTGACATGTACCATAAATTGTAACTATGTACTGTGAATGACGGGTCGCTTATCTTCAAATTTGGTGCCGTGACCTTTTCTGTTTGTAAAAATAATTAAATAAATAAACATGTATTTAAAGAGGCTTTGTCCTGAACATGTCCATGTATGCAGACTTGTTCTCGTCGCTATATGGCTGAAAAAATGCCGATGTGACGTAAAACTCAACTCAACTCAACTCAAAGCGGCGTTAAACCCAACTCACTCACTCACTGAAACAGAAGCGATGGTACACACATGTACTTGGTCTCACAGTGACTCCATATCTGTTCACGTTTTATCACTCATATGATATTATCTCCTCTGCGAATATCTCGGACGGTATTCAGTAGTAACACTCACATCCACGGTTCACCAGTAGCGTATCCCACCCCGAGACACAGGTGAAGCTGCAACCGCAGGAATCATCTTCTACACGCCCCGTCTCTCCAATGAAACAATTATCGACGTATACATGTTCTGTCCACTACGTCAAATAACTACAGCCCGGAATGTGTATATTGAATCTGATTGCGATCACACGCTGAGTTTAAGTATACGAACTGGGACTAGTATTGGAAGCTTCGTGTTTTCGTTTGTGTTTAAGTGTTTAGTGCTCTGTGTTTTGTGTTTTGTGTCCAAGAGGATGACGTCATACATTCGCCGTGGGGAGGGGGTCTCTACCTACCAGGCCGTCTACAGGTAAATTTGATAAACTGGGTCTCCCATGTTATCGCGACATTTCTCATTTGTCATAGCATGACAATAGCATTTCTGGTATCAGTAATACTGTGTTTCGTACAAAACTCCAACCTGTACAGTATGTCTTTTCGTATCGAATATACATGTATATGAAATGATTTAAGTTTCTTGTCGAGAAATGTTATAATTTTGTCAATGAATATTGATACAGTCTACATAAAAATGACGCGAGTGTGACAGTCTTCCTTCTTCATTAATTTGCAAACAGTTGTAACCTGAGGCTTGAGTGTAAATGTTACAGATAAGCAAGGGTTGGTGTCAGGATTGTGCAGCTGTACCGTGTGTGTGTGTGTGTGTGTGTGTGTGTGTGCGTGCGTGCGTGCGTGCGTGCGTGTGTGTGTGTGTATTTAAATTCGGGTGCATGCCACAAAAAATAATGAATAAAAATAATACAATAAAATAAAAAATATCTAGGGTGTGGTTTTGTGTGGAGCTGAATACATTATCCAGTTTCCATACTGATATTTACCACTTGATTGTCTCCTCAAGGGGACCGTTTCATAAAGCAAGTCGTAACTCCTACAGTCGTAGAGCTACGATCGCTTTGTGAAACTGGAGCCCGTTTCTCAAAGCGTTCGTAGCGCTACGACTGTCGTAAGTCTATGTTGGAGTATTGGAGTTACGATCACCTTAGCGCGACGACTGTCGTAAGTCTATGTTAAAGTATGGGAATTACGATACTCTTAGCGCTACGACTTTCGTAAGTCTTTGTTAAGGTATGGGAGTTACGATAACGTTAGCACTACGACTGTCATAAGTCTATGTTAAAGTATGGGAGTTACGATCACCTTATTGCTACGACTATCATAAGTCTGTGTTACAATATGGGAATGTGGTACCCCACCGCCCCTGTTGAACAGTGTATTTACGTAATATTCACTTAAGAAACAGTTGCACATGCTTTTGTTCCGTGGCAATATTGAATGCTCTTCGGTTTACAACTTAACCGAAAATAAGAATCTGGCTTTCATTTGGTTATATACTGTCTAGAAACATGTCTTGGTAAAATATCACTATGTTGTAATTAATATGGATGTAAAATACATTTGGATGTTTTCAGACAAATAAGTACAGGTTAAAATTGAAAACAAACAAATGAGAAACAGTACAATGTAAATTAATAAGTACTATTACTCGACTGTGGAAGATACTGCAGTGTAATATTTTTACGGCAGTATTACTCTAGTGTAATACCGATAGACGCATGACGCCATAATAGTTTACAGTTATGACATCACAATGCTAATACATCTGTCACAATGGTAATACACCTTGTTTAACTCGCGGAAAGCTGAGAGTCACCACACTGTAGGCAGCTTCTATCAAGTAGAGTTGAGTTGAGTTGGGTTTTGCGTCACATCGGCATTATTCCAGCCATATAGTGACGAGAACAAGTTTGCATCAATAAACATTGTAAGTACATACTCGGAATGAGTTTTATTTCAAAAACATATATTCATTACATTGTCATTTAAAAGCAGAAAAAGTCATAGCATCAAATTTAAAGGCAGGCAATTTGTTAGTGACATTTCACAGTTACAATTTATGGTACAGATCAACTTCCCTCAGGTAGTTCACTATCAGATGAGCGCTCACGCGGGAGAACAGATGTTTTAGGTTTGTTGCATCATAATGCGAGTCCCTTGCAGACGATAAGTCCACGCATTCAAGCAGAATATGCTTGATGGTGAAAACAGAAAACTAAACGCGCTTCCGTGAAATACCATGTTTATCAAACTCGTGAAAGATTTAGTATCATTAACCAAATCATTAACTCTTTTAATAAATATGGTATTACACAGAAGGTCGTTTGGTATCCCCTATATATTAATACCATACAAACAGATTTAGTCGTCTCTCCTCCAACTCAACAGCAACGCTTCTCTCCTCCGCACTGCCTTCAGCGCTGTTAGGAGCTTTGAACAGGTGCCCGTCGCTTTATGGCTAGGCTACTGTCTACACACATTGATGCGGTATAAAAGCTGCGCGTACCAATAACAATTCCAGTTAAGATCCCTTGCATCATGTTAAAAACAAAATAAACGCCAAGTATTGTAACTTCTGAGCAAAGAAATGTCAGATCTCAATGGATGAACGTGACCCAATTCCTAGTGTCTACGTGTGTCCACAGAGAACTGTCACTGTTTATTATGACCTAAATGTTTCGGTGAACAGTTGCAAAATCTCCCCCATTCAATTTAGAACAGAATATTCCCATTCCAAAACAGCATCATTTCAGAAAAAAGGACAACATGTTGTATTTTATTTGTAAACATAAAGTAATTTATTTACTAACACTATATAACTATGTTTTACAGCCCTGGGAAATATCAATTTAAAAAAAATCTTCAAAATATGCCGCGTCACTGTAGTTCATATTTCACAGGAAAGTAATTTAATCCACACCGTCTCAACGCAAACATGTACACAAGTTATGACTGAAGTTTACTAATGTCGGTGGACAGAACGCAGTCAGGGGAAGATCTGAGGCGTATCCAAGACGAACATTCCTTTACAATGGACGGGGACGATGAAAGGAAGCGCCTTATCCAGTGGGAAGACGGCTTCGATGGAGACGGACTGGGTAGACGAGGTTGGTAAAGATTTAAGTTGCCCTAAATCTGGAAGATCGTCAGCTGTTCTGGTAATATCAGTTTCATAATCAGTGGCATGTTACCTAACCATCGTAATGACTGTTTAGGTCACATGGTCATGATGCTAGGAAAGATTTCCTCCCGTAACCCCCGTATTTTTTTAATCATTCTATGCCTATGATTTTTGTAAAAAGCCTCAACTTAACATACCCAAAATGTAAGGAAAGAGTTTCTTCTGTTCCCCTAGCCGAGAGCCGCGATGCGGTCCTATACAGTCAAGACATGACCCTGCATCGCGATGCGGCTCTCGGCTACCGTTCCCCCAACCCTAAACACTTTTTTAAATACCCTAACCCTAAACCCTACCCCCTGGAAATAAACCTAATAAATAGAATACATTTCAAGCGGGGGTCACGGGCAGAACTGTTACCTACGAGACCAAACTCTTGGTACAGTTCCTGTTCCTGTAACCAACAAGCCCCCACTTATGAATTAGCCAGTTGTCAATAAAAATAAATATGTTAAAAGCCATTTAAATGGGGTTTAAGTACAGTGGACCATGATATTGCAACAACCATCTGAGACTAAAATGTGTAGTGATCTCTCTCTCTCACACTTTCTCTCACACTTTCTCTCACATGGATACATTCTTTCATTCTTTCCAGTAGTAACATAAACCTAATGTATGCACTATATTAATACACATATCAATACTATTCATAGAGCTGTGTACATCATAATTAACCCCTCACTCTCTCTACCCTCCCCTCTCTTCCTCCCTCCCTCCCTCTCCTTCCCTCCCTCTCTCCTTCCCCTGTCTCTCCCTCTCCGTCCTTCCCCGTCTCTCTCCTCCCACTCTCGTCCCCCTCCCTCCCCTTCCCTCCCCTCACTCTTTCTCCCTCCCTCTCCTTCCCTCCCTCCCTCCCTCTCTTTCTCTCCTCTTTCTCTCTCACACACATTCACACTTTCTCTCTCATCCTTTCATCCTTTCCAGCAGTAACATAAACCTAATGTATGCACTACAAAAGTACACACACACCAATACTATTCATAGAGCTGTGTACATCATAATTAACCAACTCCTGCCAGATTTAGTGTACTCAAAACAGTACTGTTAAATGTAATACTGTCAATTATTAAATATTGTTATAGATAGACTATAAATTATGGGATGATGATGAACCGCCCTAAAATAGTTATATGTACAATGTAAGTGACCCCCCTCCATGTCATGTACAAAAAAAGGCCTGTGAAGGTTACTGGCTATTTGAGTTATTGCTGATCACAAGAATTATGATGATAGTACTATGCCATATTTTTACAACATTGCATATCATGATGAACCCGTGAAGGTCCAGGTTGGAATATTGATCTTCAGTTACACATGCTTGTCGTAAGAGGTGACTACCAGGATCGGGTGGTCAGGCTCGCTGACTTGGTTGGCACATGTCATTGGTTCCCAATTGCGCAGATCGATGCTCATGCTGTTGATCACTGGATTGTCTGGTCCAGACTTGATTATTTACAGACAGCCGCTGTATAGCTGGAATATTGCTGAGTGTGGCGTAAAACTAAACTCACTCACTCACATCATATCATGATGAGACTGCAGAAAGACAGATAAATACTTAATGAAAAAGCCAACTGTATTAATTAGTTCTGCACACTTTAATCATTCTACTGGCTACTTGAATTATTACTGATCACAGAAAATACTAATATATGACATATATATTCAACATTGTCTGTCATGATGAGACAGCAGAATTACAGATATATGCTTAATGAAAAAAACATATTTGTCAAGTCTTAAATAACTGATCCTAGCCTCATTATATGTTACTGAGGAAATTTAAACTTACTTACTCAGTTAGAGCTGCTCGGTGTGAAGCATGGAGTGAGTGAGTTTAGTTTTACGCCGCACTCAGCAATATTCCAGCTAAATGGCGGCGGTGTGAAGTATGGAAAACCCCAATATTGCATGATAGTTTCTTCAACAACTTTTTCCGTGATCGATCATAAAGCGACAGATTTCAGATACTGTACAGAGGTTTTAGTAGACTAACAACTAGTCTCTGAAATGAACATATTTTACTGAAAAAAGTTGATAGTAAGAAAAATATAATATAATGAAAAGGAGCCCTGAGACTTTCTTCATTTTCAGAAGCTGAGGAAATCTAGACTTGCCACATTTTCTAGACTTGCCACATTTTCTAGACTTGCGTGGGCTTTCTTGGATATATTTGCTTCAGGGTCTGTACGACAGACTAAGGTTTTAGGACCATGTGTGTTATTTATGTTTTGTGCACTTATCTCTATTTTGAGTTATTTAATAGTTCATCATTCTCATTTGAACCCAAACAGACTGTAGCAGTGATCAGAGATGAGACATGTGAAAGTGTATAACACAGTGTTCGCGGTAGGAAAACAAGCTTTGCATTCCTAAAACACATAGCCTTTGAATCTTGCGTGTGCATGCCCGACCAAACCAGGAAGTGGCGAGGTCTTTAGTGGGGTCCGGGAGCATAGCCGCCATAAAATTTAGAGATTTCCATGCTCTTCAGAGCATTTTGTCATCAACAACGAGGAGAGTTCTATGGATATACAACTTCTTTAATATAATATGAGCGACGTTTCGGTGTAGCTACTAACACTGTTATCAAGCAAATGATGTACAATACTAGAGGCAAGATATATATATATACATAATAAAGTTGAACAGGAAGTGATTGATGTTTGTACAATTAATGAGGTTGATGTACAAGGTTGGAGGATGTTTACACAAGAAGGCAATGGTTACACAAACAGAGTCAGCTATGGGGGATTATTGGGAGGAAGCCAGTGATATGACAGATAGGATATCAATAGAACTCTCCTCGTTGTTCATCACACCAACTTTTAAATGCCACTCAAACAAGTAATTTTATCATCAGTTGCATGTCAAACTAGCTGAGAGAAACTTTTATGTTATTTTGTTGTTTCCTTGGGGGAAATACGTTTTTCTGTTACCTGTTGTGTTTCACGAACCGTCGGTTCACATGTCCACAAGTCTACAATGATCAACTTAACTTTCACCCATTCAACATACATGGTCATACATGGATTGGAATTTTGCAAGCCTTCTGACAAGTTATTTTGTTGTGTTTTTGCTCTATAAATCAAGCTTTAACTCGATTATAAGTAGTTTTTTGTTTAAAAATACTTCTTGCAATATATTGCAATACATCTTGCAAAACGTGCTTTCGCATCACAATATACCGCAGTATGAAAATACTCTGCAATACCCACCCCTACAAGTCAGTGAGCCTGACCACTTGATTTCGTTTGTCACCTCTTGTGACAAGCATGGGTTGCTAATGACCAGGGCCCTTATTCTTGAAACGTTCGTAGCCCTAAGAATTCTTAACTTTGATCGTAGCCAATGTTATAAGAATGGGCTTAAGAAGTTCGTAGGGCTATGAATGTTTCGAGAATAGCTAGCCAGGGCCCTATTCTCAAAACATTCGTAGCCGGAAGAGTTCTTAACTTTGATTGTAGCCAATGTGTTAAGAATGGGCTTAAGAAGTTCATAGGGCTACGAATGTTTCGATAATAGCTAGCCAGTTCTAACCCTGATCTTCCCGGATATGATGAGCCTCAGTTGTCATAACAGTTCACACAGAGGCCATCTGAGTGAGTGAGTGAGTTTAGTTTTACAACACTTTTAGCAATATTCCAGCAATATCACGGCGGGGGCATCAAGAATGGGCTTCACACTTTGTACCCATGTGGAGAATCGAACCCGGTCTTCGGCATGACGAGTGAATGCTTTAACCACTAGGCTACCCCACCGGCTTAGAGACCACCTGAGAGGTTGACTGAGTTGCTATTCCTGGCTTTGTGAAATAGCAGCAATGTTTAACCGCTGACAGAATTCAGGTTGATATGGAAGCCTTTTAGGGCCATTGATGATGATTCAACGATAAAAGTTACCTGCACTCATGTGTTGTAGGTAGCGCGGGGGTGCGGTGGGCGAGCTGGCTTCATGTTAATTAGAGTTATATCCCGTTGACCTAAGTTTTGTCTTCCTAGCGTTTGAAATGGCGCATGCTTGGTCTATCGTGAAGATAAATCAGTCAATTGGAAAGGAAAAACATAATAGCAGAAAGTATACAGGAAGTAAAACGCAAGACTGCTGGTAACTGGATGCAAGACGTGATGGAGGCTTTGAAAAGTCCAGTATCGCACAAACAAGGAACATCAAGCCTTACACGAGTGTCTACTGTGTCCTTGTCGACAGACGCCATGACAACTCCGGCTGGAGTGGAGAAAAATGACTTTGATTCTGAATATAGACGATTAAGTGAAGAGTTACATCAACTCAGGTTAGAAGACAAGAAAGCCAAACTCAGAAGAGAAATTGACAGATTAAAGGTGAAACTGACTCGTGAACAGGACGGTCACGTGAACAGAGAGGTCAACCAAAGTGAAGGTCAAAGACGTCAAGATGGTGGCGCCCATGGTAATAACAAACAGTTAGATAACACAAATTTTCTACGGGTCGATTCACTGGATACGACAAGACAAACAGTCGATCTACAAACTTATCTAAGATATCATTGGACATGTGGATGTATGCAAATTTGGGATTATTGGGTGACCAGGTCCAGAAAGGTGCATTCGACAATGATGTTGATAGTTATCTCAAGTATATGCAGGACATTGCTAGGTACTAATCCAAGTACAAGGAATATCGTAGGCTCCAAGCCAAAGATGGGTTTCGTTGGGGAACGCCATCGCAAGACATCCGGGACCATCAATTGGTCCAAAAATCCGATGGTACAACTAAAGAACTGTTGAGGTAGAATGAGCAATCACGCAACAACAGACGTCCGTATAGACCACGCGGACCTTTCACACCTGATGGTCAAGAAATATGTAGGCGGTACAATTTCACATTTTGTCGAGATGAACTGTGCAAACTGAGGCATGTCTGTAGTGTTTGTTTTGGAAGGCACAG